TTATTTTAGTGTTTATTTTGCTCTTTAAACCTTGATGATAGAATAAAATCATGGTTAAATGCTAAATTTGGTCCCTCAACTTTAGTGAGTTGCACATTTTGGTCTCTCAACAATTTTTTGCACTTTTTTGATCCCTCAACTGTACGACATGCACTCTGTTAGTTCTTTTGTCAATTTGGGCTGTTAATTCGATCATGTAGCATTTTTTATATTTTTTTTAATGACATGGCAACTTAAAAAGTTGTTGATTTGGACTTTTTTTTTATGACATGTCATCTTCTTGCGCCAAAGCCCCTCCAATGGGTCTCACGTTGCCTGCAAACCACTCTGTGAACCCTAGAACGGTCTCTCATCTTCACTCTCTACAAAATCAATCTAACTCATATCTTCTTATTCTCTGAATGCTCTGTCATCTCCACTCTATCTGCAAAATCGATCTTAACCCATTTCTTCTTCTTCTCTGAATACTCTCTCATCTCCACTCCATCTACAAAACCGATCTTAACCCATTTCTTCTTCTTCTCTTTTCTCAAGGGAACTTAAGAAATTGACCAAATGCAGGGAATTCGTGATGAGATTTGCTCTAGTTGGGTTGCCTCTACTACTAGTGGGATGAGTCTTTACAAAATAATATGTCTATGAACCCTAAAATGCTCCAAAGGAGAATTTGGAATTCTCTGTCATTGAACCCAGCTACTGGGTTTCATTGAAGCTTCAAACCTAACAGATCTTATCAAATCAAATTAACCCTTCAATAAATAATATTAATCAAACTCTAATCAAATTCTAACAAAAATACAATCAAACTCTAATCAAATTCCAACAAAATGCAATCAAATTGTAAATCAACTCCCAAATTTATTAACAATTGAGAATGAAAATCGAAAGAAGAATGAAAAAATATGAACCCAGCATCGAAACAGCAAGGTTGGGTTCATCGGAACCCAACTGATCTGGGTTTCGACGAACCCAGCAAGGTTGGGTTTTGACAAAACCAGCAAAGGTGGGTTCATCGGAACCTAACCGATCTCGGTTTTGACAAACCCAACCTTCGACAAAACCAACAAGGCTGGTTCGTGCGACCAGCAAAGCTAGGTTTATCGGAAACCCAACTGATTTGGGTTTCGACGAACCTAGCTTATTTCCACCAACCCTTGGGTAGGAAAGAAAGAAAGAAAGAAGGGGAAGAAGAGGGATTGGGAGGGTGAACGTAATAAAGTAATTTTATTTGTTTTTAATTAAAATTAAATATTAATAGACATGACATTTTTATTTATTTATATAACATAATTATAATATATATTATTGTCACATCATCAAAAAAATTAAAAGATAATACCACATGAAATTATTTAACTACCACATCATACTTAATTGAAGGAGGGACCAAAACTGTGCAATTTTTAGAGTTGAGAGATCAAAAAAATGCAAAAAATTGTTGAGAGACCAAAAATGTGCATTTCATAGAGTTGAGGGACTAAATTTAGCATTTAACCTAAAATCATAATTGTACTACAAGCAAACGTTATTTCTTGTCATTCTTGACGGTTGAGGTTGGAGTTTAAACCTATTAAACCTTTACTTTTTAGGCACTTTGGTCCCTGCTCCAAAATTTCCGT